TAATCCAAGACCATTACTTCACATTAGTAATAACTAGGAGAAACTGTTCCATTGCAACTCAAACTACACTGAACAGATAAAACAAAATAAGAACCGAATTTTAAAATAAGTACAACGGATATAAATTTCTTACTGAATTATCTAAATCGAGATATATAATCTTAACCAAACTCGAGTTTTATGTAATTAATCCAACCATAACCAAATTAATTCTTATAAAAATATTACTTTTATTAAAAATAGAAAACTTCTTAATTAAATACTATACTAAAAATTTATAACATTATATAATACTCCATTTTCCCTTTTATGTTAATTTTTTTTGTCCAACACAAATCGAATCCGCTCCGAACAAAATTAGGCTTCAAAGCTCTTGCCCCTGATTTAAGAGCAGCTATGGAGCAATTAGGGCTAACACTCTTGCACCCGATTTGAGAGTTTTGGTTATCGAAAAGGGTGATTTCTTTCTAAGGTTAGTAGTTTCTTCTTTTCCATTAACTATAACTCAATTGGCTAGAGAATTTGAGTTTTTTTGTTCATTTGTTTAATCGTTTGCAATTAGCAGGTGAAGATTTCCGGTGGTGGTCGATGTAATGTGACAAATGGATCATTGCACCGATAAGGTTGTGAGTGTTTAACTTTATGCCTGAAAATTGCAGAATCATGAAGCATGTTAGGTTAAGGTTGATTTTTGTTTTTGTTAACTTAATATCAAATATGCATGTAGAAATTGGCAGAGCATTACAACGACAATTTGACCATGGAGTGCCTCTAAAGTGCTTACACATCTGAATCTATCGAAGCTTCATATCTTTTTGTCTTTTTTTTTAAAGCTGTCTTGTCTTATAATTAATGATGGTTCTCATGTTTTCTAAATTATATGTTATAGGGTCTCTTTAGCCATTCAATTTGGCCATTCCATTGTTACCGAGTTTATTCACTTTTAAGATCAATGATCCGTTGCTGGCTGTTTTAGCAAGGGTAGCTTTTCCTTTAAACCAAAATTCCCTAGCATGACAATTTTTTACGATCTTCATAATTGACATGTGGGTTATTTCTCTTGTTCAGATTAGTTTCTTCAAAGTCCAAGCGAAACTGAAATTAGAAAATTCATGCCCCGATTTGTCAAACCGGTGCAGTTCTCTTTCCCTTGTTGTTCCTAATTTGTTTAACTCTTAATCACAAGGATAAGTTCAAAATAAATTCTTTCAAGGTTGGTCCAATGCTTGTGACACATTGGGAACTTAATGGACCAGTTATTCTCCGGCTCTCTACATGGGGTGCAAGGCGGATTAAGTTCTGAATACAAAGTTCCAATCTTTGATTCGTTGATGTTCACCCGATCAAGTCACTGGAAAGGTATAACATGAAACTTATCAGATTTTATCATACTACTCAAGATGATAATGATGACGACATTGTGTTTTGTTATGTTGCTGCAAATGGATCAATACAAAGATGAGTTTGTGACAGCAGGAGGAGTTCCTTTATTCGAGGTTTGCATTTTCTTAAAAGGTAAATCAACCCATTTTTTCGGTTTGTACAAATCTTATTTTACACAATGTTACAAATAGTATCTAGTGAGTTTGCAAATTACAAAATAATGTGTTCCTCTGAGATGCAAGCGAGCAATAAACGAGTTTGCACGTATGTGGAACACTTTCTTCTTCTTTTCCTACCATTTTTGTTTATCCTCATCTGATCCATCAATATCCTCACTGTCAGTACTCACATTTAAGTGTTTCCAGTCCACACTCTAGTTGTTTCGTTATTGAGTTGTACTTTCGGTTGATGATTTTTCTGATAAAGATAAGGAATGATTGAGCCGTCTCTTCTATAAAGCACCATTGCTTTTTACTCCTGATATGTCTTTTGGTGTAGAATTAGTGCAGTTTATCTATTATGTGTAAGGCAATGACTACTTTTGGTGATGTCTAGTTCCTCAATAATTTAGTCATGACATAAGTTGGATATCTTCGTTCTCATGAAAGTGCATTTGTAAGTTCAATTTTTTTTTAGTGTGTTGGCTAACTCAAATGCAAAGGTGTTACACCTCTAGTAGCAACACCAAAATTTTATAGGTTAGCCGGCACACAAAAAATGAACATACAAATACACTTTCAT